TCATAAATATGAGGGAAACGGACTTTTTACACTATCTGATGGTGACAGGACAAGAGAAGCACGCTCTGTACACAGCAGTGTTACATCTGCAGTTGCAAGAAATTACCTAGTCATTGCAAATAACATTTTTGAGTCTTCCTTTTGCATTGAGCAAGAGTCAGATGTTGGCTCCTGAAATGACTGAGGTACAATTCTTCAGTCCCACTTCTGGCATCGTTCCAGACTTACATAAAGATGACTTACAGCATCAAGACTTGCAAAAAGCACCAGGGAAAAAACGCTGATCAGGAAATTTTGTGTAATTCCTTGGCAAAGTTCTTGGCAAAAGTCAAGAAAAGAGGAGAATAGTTTAATTTTTATGGATTTATGGTTGCCTATAGGAAGGGGAAAGGCTTGATGTGGCTGTGGTTCAAATAACTAATTTTCATTGAATTGTTCCCACATCCTATATTTAATCTGATTGATCCCTACTGTGTATTTTGAGTCCTTCAGAGTCTGTCCTCCCTGATAGAGTGCCAGATTCCAGTATGGATGCTCAGGAGGGAGAGAAAACACAATATAAATCCAAACAGAATTGGATTTCTGCTTCAGTAGAGTCTCTCATTAAGACTGCATTGGCAGTAGTTGCCAAGGTCCTTGCAGTACCCACACCACAGCCTGCAGCCAGTCTGAAAGCAAAAGAATCTTCTCCCTTGATGTGTTTAAGCAGTCTTTTGCAATCATCAAGAATCCTACAGCTGTGCCATTGTATAAAGTGTCTTTTTGTTATCTGTTTCAACTGAAAAAAAAAATATGTATTGGTTGACTACCAAATCTCCAAACATTTGTAATATACTTACTAACTTATATTAATACACATTTGCACTCATTAGAAAGTTACAGCCTACATTCAGATAGAAATTAAGCAAGGAGCTACAACATAACCTTGAACTCCTCACTCATAAAGCAATTGATAAACTTATTCTGGTGTTTTCTAAGAGACTGTCCTTTTTCTGTCTTTGTAAGATTGCTAGCACTATGGCTAAGTAACTTACAGTGTAATGCAGCAAAGACAAGCTTTACTAGTTAAATAGCACATAGATAGCAATGAGATGGCACCATGAATGAAAACAAAGTCTGAGGAATGCAAACATATCACTGTTTAGACAAGCACAAACCAATCTCAAAAGATTCAGAAAGTGAGTGAATTATTTGATTGCTAAAGAAGACTATCAGGTGTGACCTGAGAAAGCTACAGGTCAGTCAGCATGATTTCAACACACAAAAAAATAGCATGCATATGTAGGTCACTCCAAATGTAATGCTTCCTATTTATTTCCATAGGAATTACAACAAAGAACAAAATAATGCTATTTGACAGAGGAAATTCTCAGCTATAAAAACACTATTTTTCAACATAGTCATTGCCATTAGCTATGCATCTTCGTGCCAGCAATGAACAAGAGACTGCATGTTGCTCTAATAAAAATCTACAAGACTCTCTGAAATGTGCCTTTTCTTTCATGTTGTTGTTACCACTGGTGAAACACACCATCATATAACTGTACTCACATCCACTGTTTCATTCCTATCAACATTCAGCAAGCATCAACGTACATTAGTAGGTGCCATTTCTTCCACAACGTGGAATACTGAAACCCAAAAACAAAAAAAACATAGAACCATGACATGGGGGAATTGACACACCTTTTCTTCATCTGCACTTCCATATCAGACGCTATTTTGTCAGACTGCTCCTTTGCACACAGTGACAAAATGTGACAGAACATTGGTAGGAAAGTTCAGCCTCTACTGTTACACCACCAACACCTGATTCTGACACTGTGGGCCAACATAAAATAGGAGGCATAACTTTTGGAGCAGCCCTAATATTTAGTCATCTGTTCTGCTCTGGAGATGGAAGTCTAGAGACTCTGACAGACTTTTCACATGATCTGCGCCACAGAATCACAAAATTGAAGGGGTTGGAAGGGACCTCCAGAGATCATCGAGTCCAACCCCCTGCCAAAGCAGGTTCCCTACAGCAGGTCGCACAGGTAGGCATCCAGGCAGGTCTTGAACATCTCCAGAGAAGGAGACTCCACCACCTCCCTGGGCAGCCTGTTCCAGTGCTCCGTCACCTCACTGTAAAGAAGTTCTTGCGCACATTTGTGCGGAACTTCCTATGCTGCAGTTTCCAGCCATTTCTCCTTGTCCTGTCTCCACTCACCATTGAAAAGAGTCCGGCCTCACCATTCTGCCCCCCACACCTTAGATATTTATAGACCTGGATCAGGTCCCCTCTCAGTCTTCTTTTCTCAAGGCTGAACAGACCCAGTTCACTCAGCCTTTCCTCATAGGAGAGATGCTCCAGGCCCTTCACCATCTTTGTGGCTCTCTGCTGGACTCTTTCCAAGAGATCCCTGTCTTTTTTGTACTGGGGAGCCCAGAACTGGACACAGTACTCCAGATGAGGCCTTACCAGGGCAGAGTAATACTTCATTAGTTTTACTTTGGGAAACCTTTCCCCATTGCCTCACCTCATGGCATGCAAGATATATTTCTTGTCATACCTCATCCAGACAGAATGAACTAATCACTCCCCTTTGCAAAAGAACTTTGAAATAGTCTTTATCACTTCTAGAGAGATTTCAGGAAAATGAGTCTCAGCAGGTCAGCTAGCTTTCTGACAACTGCACACATTGTACCCTGAAATGCAAACATATATTAAACTAACAGTTATCCACTTCAGATGCTTGGGTTTTTTTCTTTTTTAGCCTGTACACAATAGATTTTTTTTCCAAGTTAGTCTCAGTACAGTCATTATTTATCATGTTTCCACAGTACATCCAAAATTAGTTTACCCAAGGGAAATATTCTTTGAGCTACCAGATCAGGAGCAGTATTTATAAACTCTATTAAATAAGAAAGAATATAAGGCTTTAAAGATTAAAAAATTATGCCATTTCCTAAGTCGATATTCCCACAGCACATTAACACAAACTCCTCAGTCTCTCAGCACATTATACTCCTCACACAAACACAGCATCCAACCTTCTGTCAAGTCTGTATGCATTAGAGTTGCCTGTATTCTGGATTGTTTTTGCAGAGAAAGCGGTAGAGTTCAGTTAAGACAATTGTCTTCTGAAACCAGAAGGAAGTCAGGAATTTCAAAGCTAGTATAGGCTATCTAATAAAATGTATTTGTACCTTACTGGCCAGTTATGTCATTCGCAGGGTTACATTTATACCTAAAATATTTTTCAGCAGTTCTTTATTATCTAATGTATTTCTAGAAGTTCTTCAACGTATCATAATCAAGATGAAATTATTTTAATTGTAAAACATTTGGTGTGCTGTTAAAAAGAAGCATTATACAATCACTGAAAGAGACTCTCTATCATCCTTAATAAACAGACATTAATCAATGTAGCCTTACCTACTGTGCAGAAATAACTTCTAGGAGCTGTAAAACATTTTAAGATACTGTTCATTGCAGGTTAGAGAGATAAACATCTTACTAGGATGTACTTCACTATTTCTGTGCATTGAAAGTTGACAGAATGATTCCTTATGTTTTTTCTCTAAGGACTCGTAGAATAGCAATCAAAAGATTTTTCTGTATCAACATCAGTAGCAAATTTGCCCTCTGATTTAGACAGCCTACGGTGTAGAAATGTTGCTAGAAGCAAGTATTGCTTCTTGTTTTCTACTAATTTGCTGGAAAAAGGATGTTTTCAAAATAAGACATTAGCTGTAGCAAATGCAAGCAATGGTACATCAATAAAGTCTAAATCATCTGCTTGTAGCACGTTTTTAAATTTTCAGATACTCATAATGCTGTTTCATTGAGGTCTTGAAAACACTCAATTAGAGAACAAATTATTCTTTTCCACCTATCCAACAATAAACATTGGAAACATTTGGATATTTCCAGGGTTTTGAGGCATCAGTAGTCACAGACTAATTGTTTTCTAAATTGAAAGACCATGTTATTCACAGTAAATGAAGCTCTCACTCTGAAAAATGCTAGTCTGCTTCAGAAATGAGTAGAAAATGTTATTGGATTTGCTGTCATAACCAAGAGATTTATATGAATGACTGCAGAGTACTATTGCCATTTGCTGCTTTTACAGTGCTTATTTTTGTTGATCTCTCTAAAAATCTGTTGTTTTATCCATAGAAGCTATTAAAATTATTTTTTTTTCTGATCCATCTAATCTTCCTGCTCTCTTACATCTAAAAAAACTTCAAAGGCCATGAAGAAACATTTTCTACAGGTGCTGATAAGCTTAATCTCCACACACACTAACTGCAAAGTCATCTCTCCTCTCAGCAAGAGCATCTGTTAAGTAGTACAGAGCCCCTCTTCCCACACAGGCATGAATGGACATGCTAGAGGAAATGCTGCTGTGGTAATCACAGACATAATCCACACAGACCAGTCAAACCAATGACTTATCATTGACTCTTCAAAATAGTCTTGTTTTATAGTCAGCCTGTACTCCGTCAATACTTAAGTCTCAAGAAATAGAATTAAAATAATCTCTAGAATCTTGTAGCTCAAGCATTTAAGCATAAAACTACTTTGGCATGGAATTAAGTCAGCGGACAAGGGAAGAGCCACTGATGTCATCTGTCTGGACTCCAACAGGGACTTCAACAGTCCCCCACAATACCCTTACGTCGTTCTCCGCATTAGAAAGATATGAATTTGACGTGTAGACTGCTCAAAAGATGAGGAATTGCCTGTGAGAGCACACCCAGAGAAAGGTGATCAATGGCTTAATGTCTGGATGGAGATTAGTGACAAGTTGTGTCTCTCAGGGGTCAGTGCTAGGACCAGTGCCATTTCACATCTTCAACAATGACATCAACAACGGGATCAAGTGTGTAACACTATAACATTATGGAAAGTACAGCAATAACAGTGGGATAGCAAAGTCTTTAGCTGCAGCAAATAAGGACAAGCCCAAATGCAGCAGCTATAGATACAGAAACAAAGCAAAAGAGCTGCTTACCTTTGGAAAAGCTCAGGTACATAGGGATCTCCAGCAAGATACCCTCATCCCCATTGCCAACCCTTAAATGAGGCCTGGGAAGGGGTGGATCCTGACTCCACTCCTTCCTGTCAGTCAGATGCATTGCATACACCTGAGCTCCCCTGGGTTGGCCCTGCCTTCCCACCAGGTGCTCAATCTCTGCTTCAGGCCGTGACTTAGCATTTCTACTACAGAGTGTATTATCAGCAAGTTTGCAGATAACAAACTTTTGCCAAGCTATATCATATGGTCAACAGGCCCTAGGGATGGAATGCTATCCAGAGAGACCGTAACAGGCTTGAGCAGCAGGCCCAGGTGAGCCTCATGAGGTTCAACATATTCAGGTGCAGGGTCTTGCACCTGGGTTATGGCAACCCCCATTATCAGTACAAGCTAGGGGATGTAAGAACGGAGCACAGCTTTGCTGAAAAGGGCTTGGGGGTACTGGTACATGGCAAGCTGGGCGTGAGCCAGAAATGTGATCTCACAGCCCTGAATGTCAATAGTATCCTAGGCTACATCAAAAGATGCGTGACCAGCAGGTCAAAGGAGGTGATCCTGCTTCTTCACTCTGCTGGTGAGAACTCACCTCCAGGTACTTTGTCTAGCCATGGTGTCCCCAGTACAGCGAAGATGTGGACCTGTTGGAGTGCATCTATAGGAGGGCCGCAAAAAATGCTCCAATGAGTAGAACACTTCCCCTATGAGGACAGGCTGAAAGAGCTGAGGCTCTTCAGCCTGGAGGAGAGAAGGCTCATGGGAGACCTTAATGAGGCCTCTCAATATGTAAAAGAGGCTGTAAGAAGGAAGGGGACAGACTTTAGCAGGGTTTGCTGTGGTAAGGCAAGTGGAAAAGGCCTCAAACGAAAGGAGAGATTTAGGTTGGATATAAGGAAGAAGTTTTCTTACAATAAAGGTGGTGAGGCACAAGAACAAGCTGCTTCAGGAGGTGATGGGTATGTTGACCTTGAAGACTTTTAAGGTCGAGCTGGAGGGGCTCTGAGCACTCTGATCTAGCTGTGCCTGTCTCTGTTTATTGTAGGGGAGTTGGACTAGATGACCTTTAAAGGTCCTTTCCAACTCAGATGATTCTATGATGAATGAAGTTTCAGACCCTTTTGCAATATAAGCTGTTGTTTGACCAAAATCACAACAAGGAGGGAGACCTGGCCTTCTGGCAGCATCTGACAGAAGGAGGATTTTTCCAAAGAAGTAAAAGCCTTCTGTATCTTTTCAGACCTTTATCTTTGTCATCCGGGGTCTTCAGCCTTCAAACACAAGCCTTCAGGCTATATCCAGGCAGCCTCCTTCTAGGTCTTCTGAAGATACCCTCTCTCTCATATCTTTTCTGAACTCTTGCTCCCTAATGTTTTTCTCCTTCCAGTTCCATGACGAAGTTGTTAAAGCCTCATTTTACAACTTCCCTTAGTGCTCATAAAGTGCCAGCAACGTAGTACCTCTTTATGGGCTGGAGGTCTCTGCTATTTATAGGCTGTGAAACGAACATTTCCAGAGAGCCTTATTATGACTTCTGCACAGAAATTTCCATGCTATGCCAGAGTGAGTTGGCACAGTATTGCATTTAAATGCAACACCCTTCATGAAATACTGAATTGACTTTTGCAATAGAGCATATTGTGTTTGCCATTTACATAGGCACAAATGTAACTTTTCAGAAGTTTTCCTCCTCACAGGTTTCTGGGGCACAGGTACGACCTATGTTGTATAGAATAAAATAGTAATTTTACCATCAGTCATGATTTAGTAGCTTTGTCCTGTAGACAACAAATTTTACTTTTTTTTATCCAAAACTTTGCTCCTCACACTGACTACAACAATTTTTAGAGAAGGCAGTTCACATTGAAGATGGATCCTTTGCCTGTAACTATAACATGCCTTTGCCAGAGTTTCACAGCCGAATTTCAGGTTGGTTAGAAGGAAAAATTTCTTCTCAGAAAGAGTGGTGAGGCAGTGGCACAGGCTGCACAGGGAGGTGGTGGAGTCACCATCCCTGGAGGTGTACAAGACACGTGTAGGTGTGGCACTGAGGGACATGGTTAGTGGGCATGGTGGGGATGGGTAGTGGCTGAACTAGGTGATCTTAGGGGTCTTTTCCAACCTTAATGATCCTATGAAAAAGCCAAAAGAAGACAAAGCAATCCATTGTTTAGAAGTTATGGGAAAATAAGACTCTTGTAAGAATTACTCCTGTCTTCCAAAAGATAACATTAATTTCCAAATTTTTAAATGAGATTTCTGTATTGCTTTCCTGAAAATAAAGTACCAAACTGTATAATATAAGAGTCATGCAGATTTTAAAGCCTCTATTGGATTATTTTAATCCAATGAGGCCTTAATCTAAAACTTAATTTCTCAAGATTTTATGAGCATTTGAAAGTAGAACATTCTGGATTTGTAAGACCTGTTATTAGGAATGTTTAGCTAATGTACATCAGGCCTTAGGAGTTGAGGTCAGTAACATTTACTGCAGGTAATTATTCACAAGTCTTTTTAATAGAGTTTAAGTCCCAAGACAACTTTTATTCAAATTCCAGCCCTTCCTAAACAGCAGGTATTTTACTAAATTAAAGACATTTTATAATTGAATAAACACTCATGCTTATGTAAGCATTTTCAATGATTTACATTATATTTCTGGTTTAATTCTTCTGGTTTCAATACTACACTTGCCTATGACCACCTTCTAAGCTGAAGGACTCTGTAGGGCAATATTTCTCCGTGAGGTCATGAGGTATTCCAGATGATACACTTGTTAAAATCAGTGTGCCAGGTGCAATGCCACCAAATGTTGTCGAGAGTATTACTGAATTATTGCATTTTGATTAACTTCACTAACATTACCTCCCTAATTTGTTGAATTCTTGGTTTACCCCTCCACATTCTCTTAGGAGCGCTGATCAATTGATGCACATCTTTGCTAAGGCCCTGAACGTACAAAAACAGAAGCTCCACAGATGAGTAGAAAGATCTAACACTTGCAGAGCAACATTCAAAAAGCTTGCTCATGATTTTCACCTATTAAACACCTATTCCCGTGCTAGAGACAGATAAGGTTAGAAGTACAACACACCAATACATCTTTGATGTATACAAAGATCTAACCTTTTGTGGAAGTCCTCAGTAACCAGGAGGGCATATAAAAAGTTAAGACAGATGTGGCATTACTTACTCATTCTCTTCACTAGGATTAAAATAAGATTTATAACTACTATACAAACGTCTTCCTAACATCTCGGCACATAAGACAAATTATGCCAAAAGAAAAATGTATTATAAATAAAGAAAACAAATATAATCAGTCATGCTCTTCTCTAATTTAATGCTCTAAAAATGTATTTTTTTCCTCACATCAAAATGAAAGGATAACAAAAAAAGAATTACTGTATCCATCAACAACAGGAGATACTTTGGTCCATACCTGGTCAATGTAAGATTTTCCAGGAAACAAAACCAATGCACACGAACATTGTCATTGAAACTACAAAGAAAAGTCTGCTTTCCCTCTTTACACGGGCAACTTTGGCCTTCTTATGAAAAATCCAGCAAACAAATATTTTTCTCCACAAAAAAAAAACCAAAAACCCTGTGATTCCTTACTGTCAACTGGTCAACTACCTTGAAAAAAAGAAACAATTTTTAAAAGTCTGTAAAAATGTATTAAACAAGGACATAATATCAAGAATTGGAAGGAGGATTAATGGTAGTGAAACAATTACACCATTATTTTACTCAAAATACACAATTATGATGCTAATGTCTTTCTTAGGTAAGAACATTAAATGCTTTTAAACACGTTTTACAATACAGTCTTAAATAAGGACTGAGTTTCATAGTTCTTTCTGCATATTTTGTTTACAAGATTCAAGTAATTTTACCCTGAAACTCAGAATTTTACATCAGTTCCATCTGAATTACAAAATTTGCATATCTAACATTCTTAATTACCAATAGTAGACTTACAGATAAAATTGTTTTTGTTGGCCTCATTGCATTTCTGATAGAATGTAAAGATGAATTGCTGTTTTTGTATAGAATCCATACACTCCACAGACAAAACACCGTGCTGTTTTCCTAAGCAACCTCCCCGCCCCATAGAGCTCTAGTGTAGAAGACTCATTGCCTTACTGTCATAGCACAGCAAGGCTTCACATTTCAGGCAGTTTTTTCAGTAAGAGAGCAGTTCTGAGAAGTGCCACAACTACATTCCCAGCCACTCCAGTGAAAATTAGTTCATGCTGCTTCTGCCCAATTATTTACTCCAAAGTATATTCTTCATGTAGGGTTTGTGAAGACTGCTACATACTGGATCTTCTTTCCTACTCTTTCTACTTTGGAGACATAATAAGGGAAAAAGGCACAGTGGCACGGTGTGGCTACTCTAAGTACCTTTAAGTTTTTCTGAAGACTTCTAAAATTGTTTTTCCCTTGAAAGATTTTCCAAACACATTTATCCATCCTTAGAGTTTCCTGCAGTCCCATATCAACTGATGAAATTGTCCATTTTTTTGCATGGGATCAACCTTTATATAGCCTTCAGCATTTTTGGAGTCTGCCTTCTCCTATACTTCCAGTCCAAAAGAATCATTTAAACTTTGAAACAGAGACATCATGAAACATGAAACTCTTACATGCAGAAAACTTCAGCCTTTCAAAATGGTTTTACTCCTAGCAGAATTCACACTTTTGTTAGTAACCAAATATTTAATATTCCCATCAGCCTTTACCTGGTTGGGTGCCCCAGGAAACCCCCCGGTGCTGCATATCTGCCAGAGGAGCCAGGAAAATAGGCTGTGTAGAAACAGACAATGGACGAGAGACAATGGACATCCCTTTGGGAGTCCTCTGCAGGGGAAAATCCTCTGGATTATCCTACTCAGCTGCTCCCTCATTCATTTAAACCAAATTTAAGCAATCAAACTCATTATTTCCACCCACTCCTTTTATTTGCCAAAAGTGATGCTGCAGGAAGGGTATCAGGGAGTGCTTG